TTAGAGAAGTATCTATACATACAAGTTAGTGCAGAGAATCATGACAAAGATTCTAACCAACAGAGTATCTTCTTTGACATATTAAGGAAAAATATAAAGATAGGAGACAATTTTTTTTTCTGAATTATATGACAATTTATTCTATTTTCTTATTGGAAGGTTGGAAAAACAATGCAAACTCTAGATACTTGAATAATGCATTCCATTTTCATGAAGCAATACTTTTTTAGAGTCATAATTTCCAATGTATTGCAAGGATTTGAAGTAAATTCGTATAAATACTCTTGGAAAACTACATTTTGATGAGTATCTATGTGTAACTATATGGGATTAAAACATTTATCAATATTTTCATGTTGCTAAGTGTGGCTATTTTAAGCACGTGGTTGAATTTCTCAAGACATCAACAACCAAATTATTGGTATTTTAATGACAAATGTAATGGCCACTTTTAAGAAATAGTGTTTTAATAATTGAATTTCATTTTTCCCCCCCAAAGTGTAGTTAGTAATAAAGCCAATGAAACTTTACAAAGAGTATGCAAAAAGACAATAGCAATGTTTTAACACACACAATTGCAAAGAACATATCTAATCAAAATTCATGACATTGCTGGGAACTGGAATGCGCTCTAACAAAGTTATTGTTGAGAATTCTAGGTATAAATGGATAAATAATTCTTATTTTTCATATTAGTCAATTCTGAATATCATACATGTTTCTTGACCATGTTCTATTCTATTCTAAAGGTTTACCCTTTAACTTGCAGATCATTATTTAGTCCCAAGGAAAACCTGCCAAGGTGAGATAGGGAGTCAGGACATATTTGCAAAGTGACTGCCTCACTGACATAGATCAACTCATTAGAATTTTATGTAATGTTGTTAATAAACCCTATGCTGTCCTTCTTATTGAGTCTCAGGATATTTTGATTTCTTTTTTTTTTTCAAGATTTATTCATTTATTCATTTGACAGACAGAGATCACAAGCAGGCAGAGAGAGGAAGGGAAGCAGGCTCCCCGCTGAGCAGAGATTCCCAATGCAGGGCTTGATCCCAGGACCCCCGGGATCATGACCTGAGCTGAAGGCAGAGGCTTTAACCCACTGAGCCATCCAGGCACCCCAATATTTTGATTTCTTATATATCTTCTGGTTGACAAAATATTTTGAACATTATTATTGGGAGAGATTAGTATCTTTCCTTGAGGTTTAATACACAATTTATGATATAGTCAATGATTATTCTAAGTATAAAAACATACTAAAAGTGAAGACTTTATGAAACATCCAAGAATTTTTTTTTTTTTAAAGATTTCATTTATTTATTTGACAGACAGAGATCACAAGTAGGCAGAGAGGCAGGCAGAGAGAGAGAGGAGGAAGCAGGATCCCCGCCGAGCAGAGAGCCCGATGTGGGGCTCAATCCCAGGACCCTGGGATCATGACCTGAGCTGAAGGCAGAGGCTTTAACCCACTGAGCCACCCAGGTGCCCCCAAGAATTTTTTTAATTGTAAAATAAATTATATTATGATTATTATTGATTGGAGGGGTATTGGTTTTTGTATCCTAGATAAAAAATCTAATTTGCAGACAACTGTTATATAAATTCTTATGTGTAAACATGAATATGTTTCTAAGTAGTATATAATTTTTGAAATATATCGATATATTTTCCAAATTTGAGTGGCAAAGGAGCTGTCACAATAGTTTAGATTTCATTAAAATTGAAGAATATAAAAAAAGTATTTTTCCTTTGATAAGGAAGAGCAATAATTGTGTGAATCTTAGATTACTGCAGGAAATCTAATGATAGTTCAAATTTAAAAGATAGCTTAACCATTTTATTTTTCTGAATTTGTGTCTTAATTTGGGCTGTAATGGTAATGCTAAAAAGTGTTGAGGAGGAGATGAAATATAGACACAGTCATACTATCTATAAGCAATAATAATAATTTGAAAATACACAAAAATAAGTAAAAGCAATTATGAAAAATTTAATTTCTTTCAAAATAAAAAAATAAACTTTAAAAATTGTCAAATGATTAGGGGTATGCTAAAATTAAGAAATTTTGTACAATGTTATGTTACTTAAAGGAAAAAAAATTTAAGTACAGAATAGCTTGGTTATTTTATAGAATTCAATTATAAATTTTAGTTTTATTTTGTATATCTTCCTTGTCATACTTTGAAATAATTTATAATATTTTTCATTATGCATACATCTATGAACATTGAGCAATTAATTTCCCTTTAAAAAGTATTATTTGAAACTATTATAAATAATGATACTTATTATTATTAATATAATTATTAATATATATTTATTAATATATAATATTATAAATAAGAATATAAATAAGGTTGACTGTCCTCTGATACTGTATTTTGGCAAAATTCCTTAAATTTTCTTTTACAATTACCTACTTTTAATGAAAAATTTGAAAGAATCCTTATTTATTTCTGCATTATGCATTTAGAAACATATAGATATTTAGCCATTCAAGTAAGTAATAAAATTATATTTTTAAGGTTGGCTTTATCATGTTGCACATTCTGTTAATCTATGTCCATTTTATATATATAAAAAAAAGAACCAGGAAAAGTTAGAAATATTTCAGTGTCTAATGTGACTTTTCTTAGAAATCAAAACTGTATTTAAAAACTAATCTTTTAAAATTAATTTAATATTAATCTATTGTCTTAAGGTTTTCTGAAGAAATAAAAACTATAAGCCAACATCAGTGACCTTTTTGATATACAGGACTACAAGAATTCACAAGACCGAAACTTTATAAAAGATACAACTTACTAAACAGTTTTATATTTTGGTAATCCTAAACTGTTTATTAAAAATTATAACTTCGAACCCATACAACTAATGTGCAAATTTTTTAAACTTTAAAATAAAAAAATAACCCAAGTCTTGTATTTATTTAAATATTATACTAACCTTATTTTTAACATGGTGAAAAAATATAAAAGAAGCCATAGAGGTATTTTTAAGTTAAAACAAATCCACTCTAATTAGTTCAAAGAGTCATCTACATATTGGGACTACTGTATGAACTCCTTTTAATGTAAGTGACATTATGTACCCATAGGTCAAACTTATAAAATATTTCCATCTATGCCATGAATCTATTTATCTAAAGCCTAAACCCTTACGCAAACTTCCAATTAAACTCATTATGAGTTATAGTTTTCCAAGAAAAAAAATACAGAAATGAAGCACATATCTTTTGAATTTTTTTTTTCCAATTTTTTTTCTATTTTTACCCCTTCAATTTTGTATTTAACTGTTTATCTGGATAAGATATTCCTAGAGTGTGCTGCTAAGAATAGTTTCTTATGATCAACTAATCCCATTTCTCCAAAAAGGTGTAAAAGGGAGAGAAGAAGAGAAAAATGATGGGAGCCAAGTTCAGCCATATATACATTTATCACCAGAAAACCTAAATGTTTTCCTTTTAAGGAGAGGAAAAGGTTTATATGTAGATCAAACAGACTTTGATACCCAGATGACCAAAAGTCATATTAAAATACTTTTTTTTCTTTTACTTTATAAAGATCACTAGGATCTTATTGGAAATAGATATTCTCTTGGGCGGTTATTTTTTTTTTTTTAAGTTACTAAAAGAGTAAAATAGTAGTCCTTAAAAAAAACAAAAAGAAAAAAAAGCCCATTAGAGATCTCCTATCCTATTCCATAACATTAAAAAAAAAAATTCTTTTTCTTGTTTAGTGTTTAGAATGAAAGTGGGTAAGATGGCAACTAAGATTTCAGTATGTAAAAAACGCAATGAAGCCAAGAATTTAGTTGAACATCTTCCCTTCTATATTCCAAAGTATTTTGGTAGCTCTAATACATTACATTCCCATTCAGCCTCAAAGGTATTGTTCTTTCTCACATGTTACATTCGTTATTTTCTGTGTTTTTATGTTCTTCTTGTCAACTCCAACAATGTATGCATCACAATGGCTGAATAAATTTACTTAATTAAGGTTAAAATGTGAAATCTAATTATTTAGTTATATGCTGCTATCATATATTAACTTACTCATTAAATACATATTTGTGTCCAGATGTGGTAAAGTTTCTTATCAATGTGGATGAAAAGGTCAGTGTATTAATATTAAATTTTCAGCTTCTTAATTTTCTAAATTTATGTGACAGATTTAACTGTCACTTGAAATGAAACATTCATTCATGAAGAAAGAGAAAGTGATCCTGAAAGAATCCAGAAAAAAAGAGAGTCTAAAGAAAAACAGAAGAGGAGGAAAAGAAAAGATGTTTTGTATGTGCTCAAAGAAATGTACACAAAAGAATCTGGGGGGATGAAACCCTGGTGTAGCAAAACAGACACATACTACAGCTTCAAACAGCTGATCTCACTCTATTCCTCCCTCAGGGGCTGGATTTTTGGTATAAAAGTTCTTAATTTCATTATTGGAAACTTTACCTTGTCTACTATACTACTTTCCATCTGCTTACATCCTTAAAGAGATAAGAATAATTGTTTTCATTTTTATTGATTTTTTTTAAATTTAAAAAGGGTTTAAATTATATCTGGAATATCTTAAAATGAATAAATGAAATTTACGAAGGTTGTTACCATGAATTAGTTAAAGGTTATTTTTTAATTTCCTTTGCTGTACAGGTTTATGGCCAACATAGCCAACTATATTCAATTTATAAACAGGTTTCTTAAGAGGAAAAGGAATGGAAAAAATGATTTCTGGAAGTTCCTTTAAACTCTGTGTCATAAAATGACAATAAATAGTATTGAATAGAAAATAAAATCCATTCTGCTTCTCATGGAAGGTCTTCCATTATACTCATTTATTTTTATTTATCAATGTAATTAGTTGTTATTACATTCTTCATCCCTCTCAATACATGGGTAATATCACAGGCATTAAGCTTCTAATTTTAACTACTGATGTCATATACTCATTCCTATAAAAACATTATTGACAGTGATTATGTATTATTCACAGATACTGGCTGACCTAGAAAACCATGCATTATTTAAGAATGATCTGGAATGTCAGAAGCTGATTCTGGAAGCAATGAAGTATCATCTATTGCCAGAAAGAAGAACTTTAATGCAAAGTCCAAGAACTAAACCTAGAAAATCTACTGTTGGAACTCTGTATGCAGTAGGAGGAATGGATAACAACAAAGGTATACAATTCTTCATCTCTATATAATATACACCCTGTATCATACCATGGCATGATCTTAATACTGTAATCTGTATAATACCAACGAAACTCACATGTTTTCTATGTTAAGATTTAATATTAAGGGAAAAATCCAAATAACACCTCTTATTTTCAGTCTGTGTTTGCTGCTTCTGCTTATTATTCATCTTTAAAGCCTTTATCTCTTGTGCATTATGGGCCAGACTTCATATGAAATGAAATGGGGATTTAAAGCACTTACAAAACACAGGCCAAATAATGTGTTGGATATATTGACAACTGTATTTCAATTCCAAGCAAAGAAAATGTAATGTGCCAGTCACATGCTGGCCGAGAGCAATATTATGAAGAACAGAGTTTCTTTTGAGGCATTTAAAATCTCATATGTAAGCCCAACAAATAAATAGACAACTAAACATAGTGGCAGTTATACTTCAGAAACTTAATGGTGATTACCAATTAGGCCCTTCAGAAGGAAGTGAATGATTCATTTAAAAGTTGAACACATACATTTGAAGGTTTCATTCTTACTTTTCTATAGTTCATGGAAAACGTTCCATGAATATTTGTCTTCAGCTTGTCTTATGTGATACACAAGACAAATACAACTGCCATACGTTTGTGTCTGGTAAGTGATATAATTATCTGCTCTCTCTCTCTCTCTCTCTCTCTCTCTCTATATATATATATATATTAGGATTTTTTAGGATTTTTTAGGATTTTTATTTGAGAGAGAGAGAGAGAAAGAGAGAGCATGAGCTGGGGGCAGGTGGAGGGTGGAGAGGGACAGGGAGAAACAGACTGTCTGCTGAGCAGGGAGGTAGATTGGAAGTGGGGTCCATCCCAGGACCCTGAGCCAAAGGCAGACTCTTAACTGACTGAGCCACCCAGGTGCCCTAATCCACAATATACATAGTTGACAACAACAGATTATACATACATGTTTGATCTCTATTGAAGAACTTTGTTATTAAAGAAATAGAAGGAAACAACAAGGGATGCCTGGGGGTCTCAGTCATTTAAGCCTCCAACTCCTGGTTTTGACTCAGGTCATGGTCTCAGGGTTCTGGGGTCAAGCCCCACCTTCAGGTCTATGCTCTGTGCTCAGCGGAGTCTGCTTGTCCCTCTCCCTCTGCCCCTCCCATACTCTCTGTGTCTCTCTCTCTCTCTCAAATAAATAAATAAAATCTAAAAAAATAAAAATAAAAAAGGAAGCAACTAAACTTACTTCACCATTGTTAAGTGAGATCCCAATATAACAGCTAAAAGAAAACACTTTAAGTGATTGATAGGGAAAGACATATAATTCCATGTTTTTGTCTGTCATGAAGATACCTTGTGGCCTTTATGTGGTTTTCACTAGTCTAATTTTTTGAGAAGTTTACTTTCTGTTTACTGGGACATTGATTTTTAGTAATCATCACATTAAATGAGCACTAGAGAATTTCTATTTCCATTTACATATATTTTGTATATACGATATCTATGTTATATATTATGTATATATAAAACTGTCAGTTAAAAGGGGTAAATAATTTGTTGCTTTAGGAAGAAGGGAAATGGCTTCATCTCTCTTTCCCTCCTTCTCTCCCTCCATTTTTTGCTGATCCTATAATATATGTCATTACATAAAAGAACATGTCAGACATTTTCAAAAAGTGTGGTTCAAATCCCTTTTTTTAAAGTGGTGAAATAGAAAATATCAGGTACAAATCTGATAAAAATCATTAGAACATATACTAAAATTCTGAAGAAATTTTTCAAGCTAAGACAACAAATCTAGTAACCGATACCCATGTTGTCCTTATGACAGTAATAAATATCAAATGACATACACCACATGACATAGTCATCTCTTATAGCAGAAGAATGCAAACTTTATTTTAACATTATAATATGTTCATTGTATCTGTAAAAATAAATACCCTGATTTCCATGGCTTTCAATAAATATACACAAGTCTCAGATTTTATAAATGGTAGTGGTTTTATAATAGTTACCAAATTTTAAAGTCAAATGAGTGAAATTCATTTTGAAAGAAACTGTATTCTACAGGAAGAATGCCCATACAAGATCAATTCCACTTGTAAATCTGCACATAATATTTTTTTTTTCTAAAGAAAAAAAAAAAAGGGCAAGAAGAGAAGAAAAAGGGGAAAGGAGTAGGAGGGGTAGGAAGAGGATGAGAAAGAGAAGGTAGAGGAAGAACATTTATTGAATCTGGCTTGCCTTTAATTAGTAGTGAATAATAAGCATAAATTAAAATGGACAAAATTACTATGCTATTAGAGAACCAAAGAACATGACTAAATTTGAATTTTTAAATCTGGTGACTTCAAATTGTTGTAGCACGAAAGAATATGAGACTATGGAGTCTACTGGGTTAACCTGTTGCCAGCGTTTGAATTTCTCAGTGCAGTTTTTTTTTTAATTATCTTTCTTAGGGATTCCGAGTCTCACTCTAGAATTGAGTAATACCAACAATTTAGTTATTGTTGCACATATTCAATAAGTTAGAGGCTTAAAAGAATGTGATAATATAGGAAGTCTGAACAGCTATTCCAAGTTAAATCAGCAATACAATGGAAAAAATTATTTGAAGGAACATTTAAGAAATTTCACTATATCCTTAGTCCTATGGGAATGAGATATTACTATCCCATAAACTTAGCTAAAAATCTAATACTTAATACCAAACCTCAGAGAACCCATTTTTCCTTGTGAAGCAGAAATTTATAAAAGCCCAATGTTTCAAGGGATTTAAAGAGCAAACAGAACATTTTCACAGTAATCCCTCCTATTTGTATCATGCTTTTACTGCTTTAATAGTGCTTTCTACACCTTATTAGCTTTTATCTTTAAATAGGCATTAAGATTTTATCTTAAAATTGTGTTTTCTTAGCAGGTAATGAGGAAAAGGGAATAAAATGTGAAAAAGAGAGAGAGAGAGAATAACCCAAAGAAAAACTTACAGCAAAAAGTTGAAACTTACTTGGCATGATTAATTTGAAAATTAATACAATACCTAACACTTGGTGTTTTTTCAATTATTGACATATTTATATTGTGCCTTATAAAGGGCTGTATAAACATTTTGTTGGAATTCCTCTTCAGCTAGATAATTACTAAGATTCAGATGATATCAAATGAGATAGATAAACTATAGACCCAATTCTGGCAGATCTTCCACAGACATGAAAATTCAGAGCACTGGCCTCTCCTCTCTCCCTTCTTATAATCATATTTATAGGCATTCAGTGCTGATGCAAATCTTTTGCACATCTATTTTGTGCCAGGTTCTGCATTAAGAACCTGTGTACCATGGTGAACATTATGAATATAACCCCTACCTCGCAGAGCTACCAAGTTAATCTGGGAAAACAAATAATAAACAAAATATTTACAAAATGAATGTTACAAGAAGGAAATGGCAAGTAGAATGAGTATAATGCCCTTGGAGCAGACCTGGTCTAATCTAGGAAAGTTGGAATGGAAGGATGATCTTGGTGGTAAATTCCAGACTCTAGGTATATCAAATGTGAAGGTTTCTAGTTGAGAAAAGTGACATCTTCAAAAGAAAAAAAAAAAAAAAATGGAAAGAAATCCCTTATGGCTGAATTATAGCCAGTAGGGAAATGAAAGCATGGTGGTTAGTGGAGGAGAGACACAGTGGGCTTCAGTGAGAGACTTTACAGGATCAATTCTGACTTGAAACTACAGAGGTTTTAGAAGGCTGATGATGTTCCTAGTGGAGAAAGCAGTCTTTGAAATCAGAGAGATGCCCATTCAAATCCAGGAGTTTCACTTAAAATCTCTAGTATAGGGGGGCCTGGGTGGCTTAGTGGGTTAAGCCTCTGCCTTCGGCTCAGGTCATGATTTCAGGGTTCTGGGATCGAGCCCCACATCGGGCTCTCTGCTCAGCAGGGAGCCTACTTCCCCCTCTCTCTCGGCCTGCCTCTCTGCCTACTGGTGATCTCTCTCTCTCTCTCTCTCTCTCTGTGTGTCAAATAAATAAATAAAAAAAATCCTTAAAAAAAAATCTTTAGTATACTTTACCCTTCCTCAACATTATATCCATTTCTGTAAAAATTATATTCATTAAATGAGATGAAGCATTAGATTAGACTAAAACATAACAAAGTATTCCAATATGTTTGGTACCAAAGGGACTCTTCCTAATCATGTGGAACAAGGCCAAACGGTGTAGGCACTTTGGAGACAGGAGATTATCCAAGTTCTGGGAAATAACAGTGATATGACACAGGGAAAGGAATAAGATATTCATATAAATGACATTTATATTTATATCATGTGTATGGTAAATGCCTTTTATGCTAATATGAACATTCAAAATGATGAACCAAAGAGAAAAAAGAATCAAGCCATACATAGATGTTTGTAATGTGTTTTAGAAAGTACGATTTAATTGATTTCTACAACAGGAAAATACTGAAAAATAAATCTTTAAGAACTTCGTAATTTATAGCATATTTTAAAGCCAATTAAAACATTATTATAAGAATTAATATTTGTGGGGTTCCTGGGTGGCTCAGAGGGTTAAAGCCTCTGCCTTCAGCTCAGGTCGTGATCCCAGGGTCCTGGGATCGAGCCCCGCATTGGGCTCTCTCCTTGGTGGGGAGCCTGCTTCCTCCTCTCTCTCTCTGCCTGCCTCTCTGCCTACTTGTGATCTCTCTCTGTCGAATAAATAAAATCTTAAAAAAAAAAAGAATTAATATTTGTTCTACTTTGAATTGAGAAATGAGGAGACAGAAAACTAAATATGATTTTTAAGAAGCAATAAATACAAGCTGTTTTTATAAGGAGAATGATTTTCTTTAAATGTTGTCAACTGAAATCAAATGTGGATTTAAATCAATGCAGTAAACTATACTGATCAATTTGTTGTTTTTTGGTAAGAATTTTGTTACAAATCACACAGTAATCATAAATATTTTAGAAGGTTGATTTAAAGGTAAAACT